GGTGTGTAAAAAAAGCATCTGGTCCACCCAAGGTCCTGTAACACCAGAGTATTGGGAAATCAGACTACTGTAGTGTATACTTTCAGTTCTTTTGTTTACTTCATCCTGAATTGTCAGCCATGGTAATGTTTTTGTACAGTGTGACCTTGCTTCGCTGGAGAGCTGGCTAATTGTTTTGTAATGACTTCAGTAAACTATTGTTCAAATTTCAGAGTCCTGAAAAACCAGAGTTCTGTAGTGTACAGTACTTTTTAAATTCTTTTGTTTACTCCACATCAAACTGTCACCACAAAAATGTTATTGTACAGTGCGATGTTGCTCAGCTGGAGAGCTGGTTAATTTATTTATTTATTTTCTGCAATGAATTTAGTAAATGATTGTTTGAACCTCATCTTTAAATGTTTCAGGGCTGCTTTTTTCTACACCCCTTTTATTATTTCAACAATCTAAAGACACAAAATTTCACATCTTGACACTCCTGCTATCATAGATCATTGCGAGAGCACATGCTCTGTATGGACACATCCCAGGTTCAATCATTTGCATCCTCTTGGCTGCTACTGTCAATTGCTGTGAAAGAGATGCTGATAGCTGCTAAGCCCATCCACTGTTGCTGCCCACCAACCCCACTAAGAGGGAAATTGTACCTATATGTTCTTTCATATGCTCATCTCAATAAGAAAGAAACTATGCTTGTACATTTTTTTCCTCTCGGATGCACTGTATATTGATGCTGCTCATTTGATGAAGAGAGGCTGGTTATCAGAGTCTCATGCTGATGCTGGTAAAGAAAGATTGGCCATTGTGAACATAAGCTGCTGCCTAGATGCCTCAATCTGACCTTGCCTGCCTGATAAAGAGGCTAGCCATTGTGATCTCATGTTGATGTTGTCTGCCTAATGGCCAATGAGTAGAGACTGGCCATTATAATGTCATCAGACTTGACATTATTACCCCATGCTGTTATTGCCTGTTTGAAGAAGATACACTCATCATTATAAACTCATTCTGAGGCTGCCTGTTTGAAAAGTGAGACTACTCCTTGCTCAAGCTGCTGCTTGCCTGGTGATGAAAGACTGGTTATCAGTGCATTCATGGTGCAGCTGTAAGTCAGAACGGAGTGCTGAAAATGTCTGGTGATTCTGCTAAGCTGAAAGGGGTAAGGAGAAGTTGCCTTAGGTCAGATGATTTGTCAGTCAACTGTAGTATTATCTTGTATAGTTATTGCGCTTAGAGCAGAAAAAAGAAAGCATGTGCATAGCACGTACATCACTTATGGATCTCGTCATCACAAGACAAAGAGGTAGAGCTAACCACTAGTTTAGAAGTTCTTACAAGTATTAAGATTCACAGAAAACATGGACTGCTAATAGTGACTTTTTGTGTTGTCATGATACTAGAGGCTCAGAGGCAACGTGCGTTTGAATACACATTGCTGGGAACTTTTTGATCCTTGAATTTTTTTAATCTTTGAATAAAAAGACATCATATCCAAGCTAGCATTCATCATAATATAGCTTTACATTTAATTTATTCTAGTGTGATATGGTTATATTTTGGGTCTCTAATTATTTGGGGGCAAGTTGGCAAAATTCTGCCTCTGAGGTACAGTCCATCAATCTCTCATGGACCAACCTATATACAGCCAATAATATGCCTCACAAGGAGAGTTGAGATCACAGAGGAGAATAATAGCAGGAAATCAGACATGCTACTTACATTACAGGTAAAGCATTGCCCTGTGCCAAATGTTCAATCTGATTGGCCAACTTGAACCCTAGGAAGTTTTGCTCCCAATTGCTTCATCCAAAGAGACCAATACTTTTTATCAGACCTACCGATGTGAAGAAGGTTTCTACATTCACTCTTTATAAAGATATTCTGGATTCAATTATCAAATAACCTGGCTCTTAATTAACACAGTGTTTTAAAGAAAATTCACTAAATTTTTTCTTCTCATTGAATTAGACTGTCTCAATGTTTTAAGACACCTCAGTGAAGAATTTTGAAGCCACATGAACGTGGTCCATGGGGTCACGAAGAGCTGACTGAACAACAAAAATTTACCTGATTCACTCATAAGTTTACTTGGTTTACTTGTTAGTAAGGAAGCAGCAGCAACAGCAGCCGATAGCTACAGCACAAGGGGAAAACATTGGGGTGAAAGTAGGGGAGATGGAAGGGAAATACGCCCTCCCTTTCCCCATCTTTCTCCTAAGCAGGGGCTCCACTGAAGCTGAGTTTCCTTGTGGGACGGAGCCCATGGAGTCAATTTATCCCCTTTTCCTACCTTTTCTCTTGGCTGCCATTCAGGAGGCCTGGGGTGATTTTCCTTTTTTTGGGGGGGAGGGTGTTGAATAAAGTAAGTGGCATATCAAAATGGCAATACATCAGCCTAGAATGGAACTGGTATTTCACTGTGTCAGTTAGAGAAATATTTTCAAAAGAGATTAAAATAGAGGAGGTGATTTCTCCATCCTCCCTTTCAATGCCACAACCCACTTAATAAGTCACAGAATTGTCACCACAGTTAATGCCACCCCCAGTGCCATTTTGGTGAAAGGTACCTATCCATGCAAACTAAACAAAGAACTATTTTGGATTGTGCTGAATCATGCGAAAAAGAATGCATGCCATAGCTCTGTGCCAGAAAGGTGCATGACAGCTGTTAATGGGGAAGAATGGCTCATTCTGAGTAAAAACATATGTGGATGCAGTCTTTTTTTCTGATCCACACTGTGCCAACAACAATCCATATAATGATCTAAATGTCAGTGTGGACAAGCTGTGAGACAAAGAGCTCTCTTTGATAGAGGCCCCATCAAGGCCTCCACAATCAGTCTAAAATGTTTCTGAGTCAAACTTATGTTTTCCGAAATTTGAGAAATAGAGCCACCATACAGAACAACCACAAAAGAGCATTCAGATAACAAGGATACAAACAATCCCTCTGATGCTTCTAATCCTTCAAAGATCATGCAACAACATAGCATGTACTATAATTTTGCACAGGAGCACAATCCCATAATTTGCTTAAAAACACAGTCTCGCAAATGCAAGAACTCTTGTTGAAAGCACTAGGCAATATCAAATTGTCCTTATTAGTGAGGAGGAGAATGTTGCTGTTTACATTCCACACAGAGGGAAATAAACATACAATATCGATGTACCAAAACAATATTGTATGTTTATTTCCCTATGTGTGTACATACTTGCATACATATATATATGTAGTGGAAGAATTCAGTGTTGAAGCCATTGTACAGAGATTATGTTGTATTTCATAAATGTATCTAAGTATTTCATAATTGTGTTTCATTGTTTCTATTGTTATTATGTTGTTATGTGTTGTTAAGTTGCTTCTGACTTATGGTGGCCCTAAAATGGTTTTTAAGGTATTTGGGATTTTCAATGAATGATTTGCCATTGCCACTCCCTGGTGACCTCCCATGGCCAAGTGGGTATTTGAACCCATATCTCCTGAGTCTTACTCTGACATTCTATTCACTACACCACACTCACTCTGTTATTATTCTATCACCCCAGAATTTTCCTCCTTTCCATTTACAACATTTTAAAAATATTCATTTTAATGCTGTGGCTATGCCAGAATTAATAAATACTCTTTGACTAAAATCTTTTTATAAAAGCATTGCACATTTGTTGTTGTTTAGTCATTTAGTCATGTCTGACTCTTCATGACCCCATGGACCAAAGCACACCAGGCCCTCCTGTCTTCCACTGCCTCCTAGAGTTGGGTCAAATTCATGTTGGTAGCTTCGATGACACTGTCCAACATCTCATCCTCTGTCATCCCCTTCTCCTCTTGCCTTCACACTTTCCCAACATCAGGGTCTTTTCTAGGCAGTCTTCTTTTCTTATGAGATGGCCATCAGGATCTGTCCTTCCAGTGAGCACTCAGGGTTGATTTCCTTCAAAATCAATAAGTTTGTTCTCCTTGCAGTCCAGGGTACTCTCAAGAGTCTCCTCCAGCACCACAATTCAAAAGCATCAATTCTTCGCCAGTCAGCCTTCTTTATGGTCCAGCTCTCACTTCCATACATCGCTACTGGAAAAATCATAGCTTTGATTATGCGGACCTTTGTCAGCAACTTGATGTCTCTGCTTTTTAAGATGCTGTCTAGGTTTGTCATCACTTTCCTCCCAAGAAGCAGCCGTCTTTTAATTTAGTGGCTCATGTCCCCATCTGCAGTGATTATGGAGCCCAGGAAAGTAAAATCTGTCACTGCCTACATATCTTCCCCTTCTATTTGCCAGGTGATGGGACCAGTGGCCATAGTGCTCTCCTCTTTCACTCTCATTAAGAAGTTCTTTAATTCCTCCTCACTTAGTGCCACAAGAGTGATGTCATCTGCGTATCGGAGGTTGTTGATATTTCTTCCAGCAATCTTGATTCAGGCTTTGGATTCCTCCAGTCCAGCCTTTTGAATAGTACAGTATATTCTGAATATAAATTAAATTAACTGGGGGACAATATACAGCCTTGTCATAATCCTTTCCCAATTTTGAACCAACCAGTGTTTCCATATCCAGTTATAATTGTTGCTTCTTCTCCCAAGTATAGGTTTCTCAGGAGATAGATAAGGTGGTCAGGCACTCCCATTTCTTTAAGGACTTGCCATAGTTTGTTGTGGTCCACACAGTCAAAGGCTTTTGCATAGTCAATGAAGCAGAAGTAGATGTTTTTCTAGAATTTTCTGGCTTTCTCCATAATCCAGCGCATGTTGGCAATTTGGTCTCTAGTTCCTCTGCCCCTTCGAAATCCATCTTGTACTTCTGGGAGTTCTCAGTCCACATACTGCTGAAGCCTACCTTGTAGGATTTTGAGCATAACCTTGCTAGCATGTGAAATGAGTGCAATTGTATGGTAGTTAGAGCATTCTTTGGCACATTAACAATGTCCATTTCTAAATGACTAATCTTGTTCTGGAATTAAAGAAATGAGGTATGATAGCTTAGTAAAATCATTGCAATATAGATCAAAGGAATGCTGCAAGTTTCATTTATTTGATTTGGTTTATTATCAGGGTGTGAAGTGTGTAGGGTCTATGTGCTGATTGTAGTTTGTTTCCAAGAGTAATCATAATAAGAGACATGATTAAAACATTGAATCATTGAAAGAAAATTCTGAACATCTCACATTATGGGCTTGGGAGTGTGTGTCTAAATAGGTTTACATGACTCACAGTGGCTGTTGTGGAATAATTATAGAAAATGTATTTAAGAGAAAATATATTTCCTTTTGGTTTTATGGCTCTATGTTGGGCATTTGGTCTCTACACAGCCACATTCATCTACGTGAAGGTATGTGTATTTTATTCTCTTCTTTTTACTGCAAATCAGGTCCACTGTCACTTCATGGTATTTTGTAGCATGGCAGCAGGTGCATCTGTGTGTCATTTTGTGCGTGACAAAGGAATACCTGAATGGGAGAAAACACAGGGAAAGATTTTCTTTATTATCTTTTTTTTAAAAAAATTCATTTGTGCTTCCTATTACACAAAAAGCGTCAATAGATGCCAGTGAAGAAGGAACTCTAAAACATTTATTATTTTGTCAGTGCCAGAAATAAATGATGTAGAAGACAGCTGTCATTCAATGAACTGGACTCACCCATGCTTTTAGTCTATCCCAGACTTCATCCCCATTTCCTCCTCACCCCAACACGTTTCCCATTATGAAAATACAGGGGCAGGTGCATGAGATTGAGACTGTGATAGGCTTTGCTTTCGCCTTAACTTCTGCTATCCTCACAGACCTTTATATTTTGAAAAGTAGCCCTGAAAACACTGCACAGATTAGGCGATCCATAAAATTCATAAAATAAATATTGCCCATCTGAGCAGAAAGGGCAGGCCCAGAGTTTTCTAACAGATACATGATCTAATTTCTGATAGATGAAGGAATGTTTCTGCCTCCATTACCTGGTATACTATTACACAAACAGGAACAAAAGGGATAAGAAAGGCCATCGTCCCATGAAGCTCTTGAGATTTTTTTTAACTTGGTTTGTAAAAGATCATTACAAATTTAGGTGTGTCTCTCCCGCTTCAGGACACAGGAAAATTAAAGATCACTGTAATCTGAAATACCTACAGCACTCAGTGCCTCTATGCAGCATGAGAGTTTGAACTCCTGGCTAGCAACATGGGAGAAATTTTGCCCCTTGGGGTATTTTTCTTTAAAGAGATTTACCCAACTCACACCTGAAGGAATGGAATACAGATGAAATTTGTAGCTGGAAATCTATATCTTTCTGAATTTGTGGTGCCTCCCATGAGGGAAAACCTGTATCTGAAAAATGTGCATGAAATATTGCACCATTCTCAAAAAGAGACAAAGCCTAGTGTGGACCAGGTAAAAGGCCTAGAAACTGGCCATTGTTATCTGAATGCTACACTTAAGGAAGCGGTAAACTGAAACCAGTCTCTTACTTACACAGAATAGGTGTCACAGGACCCTTCGCAGGATGGTATCACAATCGGAAAAGCTGACTTGCACCCATTATGGTCAATGTATTGTTTCTTCAGATTAATTTTACAGTCATGTGACAAGAGGGTGCCTAACAATGAAAAGGGGAAAGATCTCCAATTAACTTGATTCTAACTTTCTGGAAGCACACATTTTTATTGGAATGCCAATATTATCTCATTCAGTGTTCATATGCCCAAAGATCATAATTACTGACTGGTAGAAAATTCCATATCTCTAATGTGCATTTCTCCCTTACCCTTTTTATTTGCTCCACATGAGGCTACATTCTTAGGAGGCAGGGACAACACAAGTGAGGAAAACTTGTAGGCCAGTCTCCTCTTACTTTTAATATCAAAAAAATATTACTAGCTACCCTACCGCCACTAAATCTTGAGCTTCAAAAGATGACAATATGGGGAGGGGGATGCAGACTGCTTGGTGAATCTTTGTTTGAACTGACAGGAGATAAATTCCAAGATGCTGCTTGGGGAGAAGTTTCCACCCACTCCCCACAAGTTGTCCGTATTCAGCTCAAGTGTACTTGCTTGGCATGAACAACAATCATGCCGTGAAACTTCGGGACTCAGCCTGATGATGATGGATTACCATCAAAAGCTAGCTATCTACTTGATTTTTAAAGTGATCCAATCAAGATATAAGCTGCTTCTGAATTTGTATTGCTTTTTGACAGAGAGGGGAGACCACATGGCCTTTTTCTGAGAAACATTATTATTGTTATTACTATTATTTGTCACCCAATAATGAGCTTAAGGAAGCAAATATGGCTCTCTTCCTTCTCACTTTATTCTCTCAGTGACCCTATAAAGTAGATCAAGCTGAGAAAGTGTGACTAACACCCAGTGAGCTCCATGACCAAATAAGGATTTGTACTCCTAAGTCACAGATCAACATTGTCTCTACAACACCACACTAAGGCTCATTGGTTAGGTTCCTTCATTTACTGGGTTATATTATTTTCCTAAGTCATAGATCAACATTGTCTTTACAACACCACACTAAGGCTCATTGGTCAGGAGGTTCCTTCATTTACTGGGTTATATTATTGCAGATAACATACTCACAGGTCTTGCAGCATCCATCTGGAGTGGTCTGTATGGTTCCCTGTTTCGAAAAAGAGTGTGACAATATCTTAAGAGTATACAATAATTGCCTTGCACTTTACTATGTTAAAAACAGTAACATGGTAGTATTTTTCCTTCTCTATTTATGGGGAAACATAAACTTCACACACCAGGTTGGGAAGGGTATATTCCTCTGAATGATGCTGGACTATAATTCCCTCAGCATTGCTAACAGTGAGGGATGGTGGAATTGGAATATCTGGAATATAATGTGCTCTCCTTCCTTGTGATATTCTCATAAATCCATTTTATCCACGACCGTCAAGTGCCATTTGTGTGAAGAAGCACTGCCTTCCTGAATACTAGATGTGAGCAACAAACTGCTTGGAAAACCCATCACCTTCATGCCTGGATTCTGAGATTCCAGAGGCATCTGACTGCTGGTTGCTGCTACTGCAAAGCTAGCCAAAATAGACATATTTCTTCTCTTCTTAAGGAATATCTAAAACTAATTAACCACACTACTATTTGTCAGGGTACTGATTTTTTCCCCAATACAAATTCATTCCCCATTGCAGGGAAATTTCCACCAAATTCACTCTGATTCCAAACCTTCATTTAACTAATCCACTTCCCAGATCTTCCTCACGACAGTCCCTATAGCCAGCTCTCCCTTGAAGAGAGTCCTCCTGAAACATTTCCCCTTCCAATATGAATGGCCTCAAAATTCAGTTCTCACCAGAGCCCAATTCCCAAATATTCATTCCCCCAAATTAATTTATTTCTCCAAACATATGTTAATTGTGCTGCCTCCTCTCTACAAAGAAATAAAATCTATTTCTTTCTTCATTTATGCCACTTCTCCCACGTTTAGCTGTTCTTAATCTATGGAACAGCCAACTGCCCAAATGACTTTTATTTATCCTTAAAGTTAAGCCATTCTCAAATATTTTGCATTTCAACAGGTATAGTTTGGAACAATATACTGTTGCTGGGGAAAGCTATTTCTTTCCCAACAACAGCAAAGACTGAAGCTACTCTTAGAGGGATTAAGGGAGCCTGGGTGGGCTGGCAGTTGATGTCACAGATTATGCTACTGTCAAATTAAGGTGGTCTTTAACTGGGCCAGTTATGAAACAAAGCATTTTAAATGCAAGAGAGTAGGTGAGGAAAACTATGTGTTGTGACAAACATTTTTAATCATTTGAGGTACCACCTTTCCAAGAATGTGATAAATGTATCCTCACTTTGATTCTATGGAATTAGATTAGTAATGTTAATATTGGTAACACAGATGTCCAAATAAGATCCAGTCAGCCTTTCTCTTCAGCCCTGAAAGCCAAATGTGTGTTTTTAAATATGAAGTTGATTATTAGAAATAACTAATATTTTCTCAAATAAGATACCAATACTCACCGGGACACAGTCTGATTGATCAAGCACTTGGCAAGCTATTATGGTACTACTCAGAACAAACTGATTTGATAATTTGGTGCATAGATACTGAGTACAGTTATCTTTTGGGTCCTTGTAGGTTTCCCCAACCTGAACATTAAATAAATAAAAAATGAAAAAAAATATCCACAGGTAGGTGACTGATAGCCATATAGAATCTTCAACTACACGAAGTACCACCTTTTAACTACTACTTAATAGGCAGCCCCAGAAGAAGGGAATGGTAAACCACTTCCAAGTACTATCTATCTGGAAAACCATGAAAAGGATTATCATAAGTCAGAATTGATTTGAGGGAACATGATTACTATTATTATAGGCAGCATTTTAAAACGGTGTTTAGATGAGCAAGGTTCATTCTTTGCACAGAAATGTAGTGTTTATTGAAAAAATTATGGGGAAAAAATTCATCCCTGCAAAAGCCTAAATAAATAGTTGCTGAAATGTTGCACTGCATACATTTGAAAATTGCAGAGTATTTGATTTCTACCCAGAAGTTCACAGTAAAAACACATGCTATTGAAATGTCAAACATATATTGCTTTGTCGTCCCAGAAGATTTTGGTGCAGTCCAGTCTATTGCTGCTGCTGCTTCTGTTCTTACAACTAGTACGGTCTTACCTAGTTAAGCATGAAGGTCCTTGTAACATTTTTAATAGGAAGCCGGTTTACTGGATGCTCCGAGGCAACCACATCTCAGCTTACGAAGCTGTTACGTGTGCAAACAAACTGGAAGTTTTCTTCATTAATTGTAGTGTCCTCATTTGTCCAAAGTGGAAATGTATGGGCAACAAGCCAGGATGGGAAGCATATTAAAAATATTTCAAATGAGCAAACCCCACTTTCCCAATACTGTACAGATGAAACTGGGAAATATAGCCATTGGAAGAACCTCAGGTTTGTCTTGTTCACAGAAAGAGAATAGTGATGGGGCCAAGGTTTTCTCTAAAATCTTCAAACAAAGACCCACCAAACAATCTACATTTACCACATACAACCCATTTCCTTCTTTTTTGAATGGCGATTGCATGGCAACAATGTTATTATTTGTGAAGGAGGCAAATACACACCTGAACGGACATGATTCCAGAAGAAAACTCTGCCACACATGCTGTCTGAATACATTCACCACAGCATTTTCCTTCTTCTTGAATGTAACGGAAGCCCTGAAGATTAAAATATGTTCACCATGAGCTACCTTGCCTGGAAAACATTCAAAGCAATAGTTCCAGTGATGGCAACAGAGAAGAAAACAGCAATTAATGTAACTTACATACCTGTTGACACTGAACAGAGCACTTCATTGGTGTGCATTGGATTTGATTGAGTTTGGTCTTAGGATCCTGAGTCCTGGTGCAGACACATTCTTCACAAGACTCTGAGTGTACCAACGACCCAGGCTTAAATGTAATATGGTAATGCCAAGAGGCAGAATTAACAGAAATGTCAAAAAGCAACATGGAAGGATTACTGTTCACAGCTCACATTAAACAACTGGGCTTTCCAAGGAGAAACAAGACAATTCCCAAACTACTGTGTGACATTTACCATGTGGCCCCTGCTTGTTTCCCCCAAACAAAGGGCTCACACTATGTCATCCCACCAGCAGATATCAATTGTGATGTTCTCTCTTTTCCTCACTGCCACCAGTGGATTTCCTTTATCCACAATGTAAAAAACTTTAGTCAAACACTTGTCAGGTTACTGCCAACAGAACTTGTTTATTAAAATGTATTAAATTAATTCAGAATCACAGATGTTCTTTATGCAGTGCATACCATCAAATTATTAAAATATCATATATCTTGCCACATAACCAATCACCACCTGCTCTATTTATTTTGACCAGCTTATCTCTATTAGTATCTGTTCTCACTGTCTCCCTGACTATCTCTCTCTCTGCAAATTCTTTATATCTCCTCCTTCATCTCTTCTGCCAAACCTTTTTATATCCTCTGACTCCGCCCCTCCACTCCTCTCATAGGCTCATGCAAATGAGATCCTGACTGTGAGTGACAGGAGTGACATGGGGCAATCATCACATACTGTTTAAACTGGACTGCCATGACTTTATAGGATCTATAAAGTTTGGGACCAGCATTGGGGCACGGAGTAAGATGTTTATTTTTTCTTTTTAATTTTGATTTTGCTTATGAATTTGATTCCATTGTTTCATTGTAGTAGGAAGCTGGGCTTTGTTGACTTGATCCCCCTTGAACTTGTTTGATGTGCTTTGTAGTGCATAGTCTAAGAAAAGCAACATGCTTACTAAGTACTAAACAAGCTATAGGTTTTACCTGATACTCAATTTCTTGAGACACACACACATTTTTTGGCTCTGTAATTTAAAAAAAAGGTCAAAATGTTACAATCTTCTCTTTTATGAGTTCCACAGATTCTTGTGAGATCTTTTATGCTCTGGTATGCTGCAGGAAACATGTTAAAGCAATTTAAAATTCTGTACAACTTAACATTCTGTGACTGACAAGCTAAGTATGACTTATTTCTCTAGTTGGAAAGACACCATATTGAGTTAAATGTGACTTACTCTCAAGCAAGTGTCTAGAGGACTGCTGCGTCACTCAGCTTTTATTGCAAAGGAATGCATGTGAATGTGATACTTACTACAGAAATACGTGGGACAGCATGCATTTTTAGAAGTGGCCGTTGCAATTTGGAAGCCTGGCTTGCATTCCGTATTGGTGGAAGGACAAAATTTTACATCACATTCTGTAAATGAGGAAAGAGATAAAATAGCATGCTAATTTCCACCATCACCCCTTTGCATAGAGGATCTTGTCATGGATGGGCGACAACTTACTGTGTTTCCAGATAATAACTGTTGGTTTTTTAAAAATCACAAATGTCTGCCTTGTTTATATATGGAATTGGCGCTAAAAGGAAAGTATGGTTTCTGCATCTATTAGTCCTGAAAATGTAGAGGACATTTGCTCTTCCACTGAAAAGACATGTCCAGAGATTGCTGAAGCAGATGCTTACCGCACACAACCTCTGTACAGCAGGGGTCTTCAGGGTGTCTCCGCACAACCAGAACAAATCCTTCCTGAGAGCAAGTGATTGGTGGAGACTTTGCACAAATGTGGGGTGAACAAGAAATACTCAGTGTCTCTCTGTTGCAGGTACAGACTTGACAATCTTTTTCCCAGCTCTCCCCTGGCTATGAAACACATTTTTTAAAACAACAACAACTTGTTAACCAAAACAGTCCATACATCTGAAAATGTTTTTCTGGAAATGTTTTTCTAATGGGGTCTTTAAATAGATATGGGATATGGCATTGTGGCAGACATCACACACTTTGGATGGAAAAGACAACTCTAATGAGGACTACATACTCATTACTTTATTTTATTTGCTATGTTGATATCCACCACTTACTCCAGAGGCCTTAAACCAGGGGTGTCCAACCTTTCACCTTCCCTGGGCCACATTAGAAGATGAAAAATTTGTTTGGGCTGCACATACATTTGGTTTGGGCCACATGGGGAGGCAGCCCTAGCCGTCCTCCGCAGCCCCACTCCAAGCACACTTACCGGCAGCTGCGATCTCAGACAGCAGAGGCTGCCAGCTTTGACTCCGGCAGCTTTATGGGGCCGGGAGGGGGTCCACCTATTGACAGGGACGGCGCAATGCAGTCACAAAACAGTCCATACATCTGAAAATGTTTTTCTGGAAATGTTTTTCTAATGGGGTCTTTAAATAGATATGGGATATGGCATTGTGGCAGACAGCACACACTTTGCATGGAAAAAGCAACTCTAATGAGGGCTATATACTCATTATTTTATTTGCTTTGTTGATATCCACCATTTACTCCAGAAGCCTTAAAGTCTTAAGGCAGTCAACATAGATCATCTCTGTCTGACAAAAGCGCCGGCAATGTAACTTGAAACTTTGGAATTTCTTTAAAAATAAAAAATTGCACTGGGCCGCATTATGAGCTGACCTGGGCCACATGCAGCCCTCGGGCCACAGGTTGGACAAACCTGCCTTAAAGGCTTAAGCCAGTCAACATAGATCATCTCTGTCTGACAAGGAAAGCAGTACAGTAAAATGTACTGTAAAATGTGGTTATAACGGGGTTTTGTTAACTTGAAAATGGGTTTAAAATTTCAAAGGGGAATATTTTTAAATGCTACAGTGGCAGCTATTGATCCATTTATCAATGGATTCCTCTATCGATTCCACTACTGACTGACCAACTGCCCAGAATAGTACTTTACACTAATGGAGTGTTATAGAAATTCAATCAATAATAAATACTGTTAGCACTTAATGCCACCATGACTTGTCATAATGATTACAGGATGGCACCCTAACTTATGCTTCATTTTCATTGGTTATTGTTTTGTGTCTGCAGTGTTCAATATTCTAGTTTTTCAACATGAAGATAGAGTGTTGAATCCTCTGGGTGTTTCAAATTGCAGAACTTAACTTCTGTGCTGCTTACTTCTCTCAGTAGTCCATCCGGTTCTTGGCATCCTACGAATCAGGACAATTAGAAGATGGGCATTTCAGAAAGAATGTTGCAGAACTGCAGTGCAGACATAACCATATAGTATACAAATCCAGACACCAAAATTCTGCATATGGAGAAGCATGAGAGAAGCATGGCTAAAAGAATATTGGTCACATTTGTAAATCTTAACAATTTTCTGTAGAAATTTGCCTTTGTGTAAGAATCATTCAAAAGGGCATTTAGTTCATACTTATGTAGTTTACTTTCTGATCCAATTCCACCCACCCATAGTGCTGTCTTGCTACTTCCACATCTTTTCCAGTAATTTGAAACATGCTATATGCAAGGCTGAAAGAATCTCATCTACAGCTTGTTTATAGTTGAGACAGACTGTATCAATTTGATGAAATAGCATGTAAAGGATTCTCAAGCCACTGTGAACTTGCTTGTGGCATGAGACTAAAACCTCATGCAGGGTTTTATTTCTCCTTATCATGGTTGGCATAATTTATGCAACATTTCTCTAGAGTCTTTTCCTTTTCTGAAGCTATGCATATACAATCAGCAGGTAGACAGGCAGAAATTGATTGTTCCGGAAGATGCAAACAACCCACCCAATGCTTCTACTTTGAAAAAGTAGTACACAAGGAAGAACTAGATGACTATCTACCTCCCTAGTATGTATTATACACAAACAGCATTGACTCATCCCCACTCGCTTTTCCTTACCACAGACAGGAACACAAACACTGTCATGGTCTTTCAGTTGAATCAGTCCATCGGGGCAGAAGCATCCTTCAACAAATATTTGTGGAATGTCAGGTTGTGGTGGAATGGTATTGTCGGGATTTCTTCTATAAGATTGTGTGAACAGAGTAAAGAGAAGTATCACATAGGAGCAGTCCACTCATTTGTATTTAATTTCATTCCATTGTTAAACTATTCTTAATGACTCAGATAAAACGTTTGATCAAATCACATCAATGCTTACTTACCACCAGCATCACCACAATTAAGCAGCTCTTTTTAAAAAATAGTATCTAAATGTGGTAATGATGAACATAAGAACACCTGAATTTTCCTCCATTCCCAAGGATTTGGAGATGGTTAGGACTCCTTGTTTATGCCTCATTTAAGATGTCCAATTAAGAGAAAACAACAACATAGAGTGGTGAAAAATCAGAGTCTCCAAGAGCTGCCCTGCTCCTGCTGATATCATTCGAGACCTAGGGGATGATACTTTACTATACCAAGAAATGACAGGTTATTGTCTTTTTAAAAAAAGAATATTAATCATCACATTGGAGGAAGCCACCCACTTCTAAGAAAAGCTTGCCAGCTGTACATAGTTCTCTGTCAGCTGTAGAGAAGAAAACGGCACTTCAGGTAAACTCCTCATCAAATATTTACAAAACCCAGAACACTTTTTATAAACAAAATGCAAAATGAAACAAAAAGAGCAGGAATCAGGGGTAAATCATTGGCTGAGATAAGGGGATCTATTTATAAGGGGATCATATCTCTAGTGGTATCTAAGAATTCAGCTGAAACTACACCAGTATGTGGAGACTGGCTGAGTTTAACAAATATGTGATTCCTTGTGGAAATGTTATCTTTCATTTTTCATTGACCGACTGATTAATCTAAAATATTTATATGCCTTCTTTCTCCTAAAAGGTCCAAGGTGGCTTACAGTACTAAAAGAAACAAAGTTAAAGGCTAAATAATAAATTATTGCAATATTTTTAAAAAGCATTAAATAGATATATTAAATCACATAATAAGAGCAATATTAAAAACATAAGTAAAACAGCAGAACAAAATAATCCTTTTAAAAAATTCCCCTTGGCCATCCAGTCATTTAAAGGAATCCTGAAGAGACAGGTCTTTGCCTGCCTGCGGAAAGACAGGAAAGATGGGGCCGGTCTCGTCCCCATGAGAGGGAGTTCCAAAGTCTGGGAGCAGTAACGGAGACGGCCTGCTCCCGTGTTCCCACTAAACGTATCTGATGAAGTAGAAGGCACTTACAAGAGCACGAAAATAATGCAGTAGCAGAAGAGGAGGAATGTGTTTCCTTTGCCTGAATGGGATAGACCCAAATATGGATAAGCACAAAAAAGCAGCATATGGTTCAGGGCAAGGGTTCTTTTTCAGAGTGCTTTGGGTCATAACAATCTTTTCACCATGACTTGCCTCACATATTTTTGAAAGGCATGGTTCTTATTGTAGCATCTCTACTTGAAAAAAAATCACAGGTAGAATTCTCATCAGGTCAGCAAGTAAAGGTTAGCGGTCAGCACTTTTTTTTTTTTCACCATGACTTGGATCCCACTATGCCATTGGGTCTCTGCAGCTCACATTTGCACAAGTGGCAGCATTTTTCCTAAGTTCCTCCAAAGAGGTGTCTGACACTTCCTTGTGGGAGCATTTTTGGGTGTGTTTTTGTTGTTGTTGTTTGGTTGGTTGGTTTGCGGTTTGGGGTTTTGTTTTTTGTATTTCAAGCTTGTGTGACCATGACACAACAGCATCCTTGAACATGTGTGTGAGCACAGTGTCACCTGCTTGCACTCAGCTTGCACTCTTGTGCAGTCCAGTACAGTGGTGCCTCGCACAACGGGCGCCTCGTAGAGCGATGAATTCACTCTACGCAGTGGTGCCTCGCTTAGCAAGCGCTCCATTTAGTGACAAAATCGCTTTGTGACAAACTTTTTGCAATCGCTTTGCGATGTTCCCTATGGGGGAATTTTGCTTTGCGATGATCGGTTTCCTGCTTCGGGAACCGATCATCGCAAAGCGACCATTTCCGCACAGCTGATCGGCAGTTTCAAAATGGCCGCCCACTGATTTTCGGGGCTTCCGGCAGCGTTTTCGCGCGCTCCCCTTGCTTACCAAGGGCGCGAAAACGCTGCGCCCTGGCCCCTTTCGGCTGTTCCGGCAGCCATTTTGGACCCGCCGGACAGCTGATGGCAGCCATTTTGGCGCCCTCATTGTGCGAGGGGAGGGCGCGAAAATGGCTGCCGGCCCCTGGGAAACATCGCACTACGGTGAGTATTCTATGGCATTGGAACGCAATAAACGCTGTTTAATGCGTTCCAATGCCTTTTTCTGTTCCGTAGCGCGATGTTTCCCACAGCGAAGGTTAATCCGGAACGGATTAACCTCGCTGTGTGGGGCACCACTGTATTAACAGTGCTACGAGGGATTTTCACACCATCAGCATTCCATGAGATTTAAGCCAATATCTTAAACGCACATCACATAAAAGACTGACACAGACTTAATAAATCACTCACCCACTACTGCAAGTGATCCTTTCCTTCATCCCGCATGGCTTGTAGATTTGGTCTTGAGAACATGTATGTTCTGCAAAAAATTAGCAGATTTTAGTTGAAGTATATTCACTTAGGTTTTTGCATTTTCCAAATGTAAAATAATTAGGAATTATTACATAACTGAGCATTGCATTTAAAAAAATCCCTACTTCTATTTTAAAAATTGTCATCACTATTAATGGAAGAGAGGGTTGTCTTTTCACATCTTTTGGTACACACAGAATGTCACTGCACAACAATTCTATGTTGTCTTTGGCAGACAAGCAAGTAGCAAGGGCAACTGCAAGCAGCAATCATAAACAATTGCTATTGTCATCCTCCTTTCTCTGTGCAATTGGAGGAAGAGGGGAGTAGGAGGGCCCCATAGCAATAGGTGATGTTGTATTGCTGAGACTAGGAAAAGAAGTAATCCAGCCTACACGGTAGAGAAAGGAACCTGGCAGGGCAAGGCAACCTTCTAATCTAGCCTGCCATCCAGAGACAATAGGCAGTAGTGTCTGCTGTCTTAATGCAGAGAGTAAGAGGTCAGCAATGGGATATCTCAGGATATTAGATCTCAATAGTGGATACGATTCTTGAAGAGGTGAATGCCACCACATGTGCGCTGAACCCTTGCCCTTCCTGGCTTATAAAAGGATCAGAGGAGGAATGGCCAATTGGGTATGGGGAGTGGTAAATTCTTTCTTGCAGCAGGGTAGGATCTCTGCTTGTTTAAAGGAGGCAGTAATGAGACTGCTATTGAAGAAGCATTCTCTGGATCCTAGTGTACTGGATAACTACCAGCCAGTCTCAAACATCCCATTCCTGGGCAAGGTACTGGAGCGTGTGGTGGTTTCTCAGCTCCAGAGATGGATTATCTAGACCCATTTCAATCTGGTTTCAGGCCTGGCTATGGGACAGAGACAGCTTTGGTTGCCTTGGTGGATGACCTCCACCAGAAACTGGTTAGAGGGAGTATCCCTGTTGGTTCTGCTGGACCTCTAAGCGACTTTCAATACCACTGACCATGGTGTCCTTCTGGGCTGTCTCTCTGGGATGGGACTCGGAGGCATTGTTTTACAGTGGCTCCAGTCCTTCCTGGAGGGGAGAACTCAGAAGGTGGTGCTGGGTGACTCCTTCTCAACACCATGGCCATTGGCCTGTGGTGTTCCTCAGAGTTCTGCTTGGTCACCCATGCTTTTTAACATCTACATGAAACCGCTGGGAGAGATTGTCCACAGTTTAGGAGTTCAGTGCCACCAGTATGTGGATGACACCCAACTCTATCTCTCCTTTCCACCTAATTCCAGGGAAGCTGTCTTGCCTCTAAACTAGTGCTTGGCATCAGTAATAGGCTGGATGACCTAAACCAGTGCTGTGCATCAGTAATAGGCTGGATGAAGGCAAACAAACTGAAAATCCAAACAAGGCACAGGTGCTCCTGGTCAGTCAGAAGGCAGATGAGGGAATAGGGATACTACCTGTGCTGGATGGGGTTACACTCCTCCGGAAAACTCAGGTCCGCAACTTGGGTGTACTCCTGAATTCATCCCTAAGTTTGGATGCCCAGATCTCGGCAGTGGCCGGGAGTGCATTTGTATAGCTAAAGCTGGTGTGCCAGGTGTGCCCATTCCTTGAGGTGTCGGATCTGGCTATAGTGACACATGTTTTAGTTACATCCCATTTGCATTACTGCAATGCGGTCTATGTGAAGCTGCCTTTGAAGACAGTTTGGAAACTTCAGCTGGTGCAAAACTCTGCAGCCAGACTACTGACTGGGGCCAGCTACAGGGAGCATATAAAGCACCTGTTACAAGATCTGCACTGGTTACCAGTCCATTTCTGGGCCCAATTCAAAGTGCTAGTCATTACCCATAAAGCCCTATACAACTTGGGTCCAGGCTACCTGAAGGACCGTATCTCCCTAGATGCACCTTCTCAGTGATTGGGATCAGCAGAGGAGGCTCTCCTCTCTGTCCCATTGTCAGCACAAGAACAGCTAATGGGGACACGGGAGAGGGCCTTCTCTGTGGCAGCTCCCAGGTTATGGAACGCTCTCCCTCGGGAGATCAGGAAGGCCCCTTCCCTTTTATCCTTTTGAAAAAAGCTAAAGACCCATCTCTTCAGGCAGGCTTTTAACAATTACAACTGAATCCCTGAACCCCATTTTAGCAGATAATTTAAATCTTGCCCATGTTTCCATGTTCTAATCTTTTAATTTTATTTTGAGGAGAAGCATTTAAGCACACATCCTTCCACCTCAAATTCTTTAGTATAGGGCAGGCAGCTTTGTATATTTCTGGCTATGCAGTCTTTCTCCACCTCAAAAGATAATCCAGTCCATTTCCTACTCTTTATAGATTTTCTGGGGTATTACACCAGGTCGTCTCACCAGAATTGTGTGTGCATCACTAGAACCTTTTCAGAAGAAAGAATAGTTTTGGCTCTCTTTTCACACTCTTCTTGTAGAGATGCAATATTGCTCATTTTAACACCCAGATTTAGAAAGTGAGAATTTTGTTCATTATTTTATGAGAACAAAATTCATAGAGTGAAAGCTTGATGCATAAATCCCTTCAAATATACAACAGAAATAACTTGATATCTCAAAACATCCAAATCTCCACAATGTTTCCTAGGAGAAGGGCCAGATGATATCACCTGAAGCATGTATTAATGGGATTACGTGCTCTGCCACTTGTGCAGCCTTAGGCAATTTGTGCAGCCCCAGAATTTCTCCAGAAGGAGGGACTGGTAAACCATTTTCAAATATTTCATACTTAGAAAACCCTGGGATGGTCAACATAAGTCAGAATCAACTTGATGACACAAATAACACAAACATAACAAAAAAGAATGAATTCGATAACCCACTTGTGGGAAGCCTTAAAGCTCACCACACATCCTGTCAGTTTTGCTTCTCCACTCCACACAGATCCCATTGAAGCCGCACAAGGTTGCATAGGCCTGCAGATTTTCACATTCAGTGTTCTGCTTTGGTGAGGTACATCCATCCGTAATACAGGCATCATAGTAAGGCCGTGGGGGGACAGCTGTGTGACATTCTGTTAAGCTCCTTGTTTAACAAAAACAAACACAAGAACATATTTTATTTCTAATATGAACAAACATCTTCAAAGCAAGCGAAATATTAAATGATTTAATGATTGATGTGCAAATTCTGTTAGTATTCTCAAGGTGTCTATTTAAGACGTTAAAAATAGTTACTAGTTATCCATAAAATGTTTAAAATATATCCACATTACATTTATCAGTGAATTCTGTATTGCATTATTACATCCATAAAGCCATTTTCAATAGGTGCTTAAAATTCTTTGTTGTGTTATTGCGCTGCAGATTTATTTCTGTTTAACTGATTATGCATGGATTCTGATCAGTTTGCAGCTTTTTAAAAAAATGCCTATACCTACTGCTGTTATAATTTTATCTACAGATTTAAAAAACAAACACTGAATTGATTTACCATAACACCTGGATGTTAAGAAAATAACCACCTTGGGAATGAAATGGTACTTTACCAGATAAGTTTACAAAGAGGCAAAATGGCACAATCGGCTGCTTTGGAAGGTGACATTTCACTTGCAGAAGGTTTTGGGTCTTGACCTGAATCACAGTGTCTCGTGACCAGGTCCATCACTTTCCAATCCTTTGCCATCTCTGTGAAAGAATCGACAATCTTGCCGTTCCTTTTCATGGCATCGTCTGCCTTTTTATTGTTGCATGTACCTGGCCAGAATAAGGCAATCACTTTGGGCCAAGGCCGAAAAGACATAACCATTTCTAAACTGTTTAACACAAAGAAAAGTGACCAGCTAGTGGGCTTATAAAACCACCCTTCAGTTCTTTGCTGGAACCACCTTTGCTTATGGATTCTCCCCCTGCCCTTCCAAAAATCTCATTTATCCTCACTCCAAACCCCCACTGTGAGCTATGACCATTTGCTACTCAACCTGTTCTTCTGACCTCCTCTTTAAAATGTAATAAAAGCAAATGACAATGGAGTTCTGAATTCTCTCTGTCTCCTTTCTCCCAAACTTCCCTGCACACACAACTCTTTAAATGAAAATGCTAGCATCCTCAACAAACAACTGCTAACATAATAAAAAACACAAGTCATTTGGTGTCTCCAGTGGCCCATCTGTATGAAGGACTTACCACATAGTCCTTCAGTATTGTTATAAAAAGTGCTGAAAGGTAGGCTTATATAAAAAGCAAGGCAGGTATAGGTGACATAAAGCCCAATTTCAGGTATTTTAACCATGACATATTGACCAGAGGTGGTGATATCGAAGCCATCATTTGAAAAATGTGGAGTGACTTCTTTATTGTTATACAGAACCTTAAAAAGAAATTGGAAGAAGCAGAATAAGTCAGTGAACAGACAGACCTATTATTTTTCTTTCTAGGAGATAAAAAGGGTGGGGGAAGTAGCTTAAAAACAACACCAAAATTGATTAAAATCTGTCCTAAAAAAAGTAAA